CAGGTGGATTGTCCGTTCGGGAATCGACTTTCATCCGAGATGACTGATAGCTAGACACTCCAACTCAGAATCCGAATTTCCGATTTCAACACACATACGACTAGACACTCTTCCGAGTTTAAAAATTACCGCTTAACCAGTCCTGTCAACACGACAAAACACAATACCCGACGACCCCCCCTTCCCGCCACAGGCCCGGATCAAAAAACCCAGCATCGCCGACAAAGATGCACCACCGCCCACACAGTCTTTCCGCCGTAGGCGGGATGACAAACACCGGAATCTAGTCTTATACTATAAAGCGTGAACCCGAGGGCGCAGCCTATGTTTTAATTCCGAACTAGCGTAAGGGAGAGCCAATGAGAAAATTACATTTCTAACCGTGGGCGGTCTCCCGGAGCCGTCGCTGCGTTATCACTCCTCTTATCACTTTTTGCCGTTTTTTTCGAAAATCAAAGAAATTTCGAAAAAAAACGAGTTTTACCCCCCCGGGGGACCTCGGGGGGCCCCGTTCGGACCTTATTCGCGTTCCTCGGTAAATTTATAGTCGGCGCGCGGCCTTACTTTTTTCCCGGCGGGCCCGCGGCGGCGGATGTCGCGTGCGATACGAGGGCCGCCGTCGCGCGCGTTTTTTGCATTTTTTTTCGAAAATTCGAGTTTTAGGCGTTTTAGAACGTATCGACCTCCCCGTTTGGATCTTATTCGCGTTCCCCGCTAAATTTAACGTCGAAACGTGGCCCTACTTTTTCAAAAACGAGTGTCCCGGCGGACGTATCGATCGCCGAGGGCGCCGCGTCGTCGCCGTTTCGACGGTTTTCTCGACTTTTTCGACTAGAGTCGCGTGTAGCAACTCTACGAGACGTCCGACCACCCCGCCGGCGACGTATTCGAGTTCCGCGCTAAATTTATAGCCGGCGAGGGTACCTACTTTTTCAAAAACGAGTCCCGGGGAGGAGCGACGTCGCTTAAACGAGAGTAGGTACCGATGGGGTATCGAGTAGGTAGGTACCGCTATATACAGGCATAAATACGTGCGTCTCGAGGTTCGATTTTTTTCGCAAAGCTCGGGTATTATGCGTCCGAGGGCGGCGGAGCCGGTCGTCCGCTCGCCGACGCTGTCGGATCGCCCGCTCAAACGCCCTTTGACGGCCGTCCAAACGGCGTTCGCCTTTCGCGAGCACGGCGACGCGGCTTAAGAGTCATAGAATTGATTCCGGTTTTCATCTGAGTAGGTGGCTAGGTTGGTTAGGCGTTAGGATAGGTGACTCGAGGGTCGTGGGTTCGAACCCGGCTGCCGGGATTTTCGATAATTTGCGGCGCCCGTGATATTTCGGATTTCTTTTTTTTGCGTTTTTTTTTTTTTTGGTCACATTAATCATTTTTAACGAGTGTTCCGATTTTCTTCAAAATTCGCGTTATTATATTATATATATCGGTATTTATATATATTATTATTCGTTTGACTATATTTATTTTTCAAAAAAATAATAATTAACATTTAATTAATACTTGATTTTACCGTGACCAACCTACAATATAATTATAATGTAGTACCTACTTGATATATTAAATACTGCTACAGATTATAAATACTGTTTAATACAATATTAATAAACTATATTAAAAAATAGTACTACTATATGACTGCTCCATTTGCCGTTTTTTTTCGAAAATTCGAGTTTCAGCCCCTTTCGGTCGTATCACCCGCCCCGTCGACGACTTATTCGAGTTCCCCGCTAAATTTATAGCCGGCGAGGGTACCTACTTTTTCAAAAACGAGTCCCGGCGAGGAGCGGCGTTGCTTAAACGAGAGCGGGTACCGTGTATTGTATTGTATATATTATGCGTCGCGTCGTTTTTTGCGGAGCCGTCGCTGCGTTATCTTTTATCCTTATCACTTTTCACGGTTTTGACCATTTTTCACAATTTTTTTCAATATTTTTGAGGTTTACCCCCCTCGGGTGCCTCGGTAGGGCCCGTTTTGACCTTATTCGCGTTCCCCGCTAAATTTATAGACGGTGCGCGGCCCTACTTTTTCACAGACGAGTCCCGGGAAAGAGTGGCGTCGTGGAAAAGTTAGTAGGTACCGTGTAAGTATCGCTATATACGGCAATAAATACATGCCTCGCGTCGTTTTTTGCTGTTTTTTTTTAAAATTCGTTTCTTGGACCGTTTTAGTGATATTACCCTGCCTGTTTGGATATTATTGGCATTCCCCGCTAAATTTATAAGCCATAGTCGTCAGTACTTCGCTCGAGTCGAGTTCCGCGGAGGAGATCGGGGAGCGGACAGTGTTGTTATTACTTTATACGGAAATGAAAATATGCGACAAAAAGTTTGATTTTTTCATACACACTTTCATACACATAATACATAAGTCATAACACAGTGATGCACCATTATAATTAAGCAATTATAATTACTAAATAATTTAAAACATCATAAATAACAAATGACATTTAATAAGTTGGTAGGTAGGTACATCATATATTATATACAGTCATACAATATAACAGCAAAATATTATGATAGTAGGTACTTACGAAGATAAGTGCCAAAAAATTGTATAGTGTATTCATTTATACATACCTACGTTTAATAGGATAGTATTACATTTCAATAAATTTTGTTATTCACCAATATAATTATCTATTTGTTAATTTGATTTAATTATCATAATTAAATAAATATACATGGTAGGTATATTTTAGAGAATATCCAATCAGAAAATTAGATTTTTTCGACTTATTAGTTATTTGTTATAACCGCGAAAACATAACAATGATTACATTGATTACAATGAAGCCTAACATAAAACACCTGATAACTGTTCTCTATAATTATAAAAAAAATACAATTTTGTTACCTCCTGTATGCTTTATCAGATTTGAACGGCCGTTTCGAGCACTTTTCGCTGTAGGCGGATTGTCCGTTCGGGAATCGACTTTCACCCGAGATGACTGATACCTAGACACTCAAACTCAGAATCCGAATTTCCGATTTCAACACGCATACGAGAACCGGACACACACGCCCGGTGCATGGTCTGCGATCTGACGTAGTCGGATTGCCTACCTGACTAGCTACTTGCATATGAGCGACTTACACCCCCACTGCATCCGACACTCGGGAATCGACTTTTACCCGAGATGACTGATAGCTAGACACTCAAACTCAGAATCCGAATTTCCGATTTCAACACACACACTCCAGAACCGGACATACACGCCCGGTGCATGGTCTGCGATCCGACGTAGTCGGATTGCCTACCTGACTAGCTACTTGCATACGAGCGATTTACACCCCCATTGCATCTGACACTCGGGAATCGACTTTCACCCGAGATGACTGATAGCTAGATACTCAAAATCAGAATCCGAATTTCCGATTTCAACACACATACGAGAACCGGACATACACGCCCAGTGCATGGTCTGCGATCCGACGTAGTCGGATTGCCTACCTGACTAGCTACTTGCATACGAGCGACTTACACCCCCACTGCATCCGACACTCGGGAATCGACTTTTACCCGAGATGACTGATGGCTAGACACTCAAAATCAGAATCCGAATTTCCGATTTCAACACACATACGAGAACCGGACATACACGCCCGGTGCATGGTCTGCGATCCGACGTAGTCGGATTGCCTACCTGACTAGCTACTTGCATACGAGCGACATACACCCCCACTGCATACAAGCCGCAGGTGGATTGTCCGTTCGGGAATCGACTTTCACCCGAGATGACTGATAGCTAGACACTCCAACTCAGAATCCGAATTTCCGATTTCAACACACATACGACTAGACACTCTTCCGAGTTTAAAAATTACCGCTTAACCAGTGCTGCCAACACGACAAAACACAATACCCGACGACCCCCCCCTTCCCGCCACAGGCCGTATAAAAAAACCCAGCATCGCCGACAAAGATGCACCACCGCCCACACAGTCTTTCCGCCGTAGGCGGGATGACAAACACCGGAATCTAGTCCTATACTATAAAGCAAGAAACCGAGGGCGCCGCCTATGCGTTAAATCCGAACCATCGTAAGAGAGAGCCAATGAGAAAATTCGATTTCCCCCGGAGGGCGGTCTCCCGGCGGCGGCGGAGCCGTCGCTGCGTAATCAGCCTTTCTTATCACTGTTTCGAGATTTTTTCGATTTTTTCGAAATTTTTCGAGTTTTTCGAGTTTTACCCCCTCGGGGGGCCCGGGGTCTCCCCGCTGTGACCTTATTCGCGTTCCCCGCTAGATTTACAGGCCGCGCGCGGCCGTATTTTCTTCCCGGCGGGCCCGCGGCGGCCGATCTCGCGCGCGATACGAGCGCCGCCGTCGCGCGCGTTTTTCGCCGTGTTTTTCGAAATATCGAGTTTTACCCCCCTCGGGGGCCCCGGGCGTCCCCGTTTGCGTTATATTCGCGCTCCTCGCTATATTTGTAGCCGGCGCGCTATCCTACTTTTTCAAAAATGAGTCCCCTCATCCAGTGGCGGCGCGAGAGGGTTTTTGTGAGACAAATGTCTCACAGCTAAAAGGGGTGGTGGGTGGGTACCGAGTAGGTACCTATAATGGATAGTCAGTTCTGAAAAATATTGAGTGACACAACGTATCAAATAAATAAATATATAAATAGTCATATTCATATAGAGTATAGACTATAGAGTATAGACATAAACATGGTTTATAAATAAAACAAATGCTTATCTGACAGACGTATTTTCCACAGTTTACCAGAAACGACCAATAACTGATTAGTATTAATAAATATGAATCGCAACTGTGTGTTAGTGACTTGTTTTCACATTCTGTCAGTAATACAGTGTTTTGCTGTTATTAACGTTATTATTGCAGTCTCAACTCTCAAGCAGAAACTTGTATTCATTTTTATAATTATTATTTTATTTACGTATTACGTTAATTTGTTAACACATCCGTTAAATCACTAACTATTGAAAGATGAATTCACTGTGTCCCAGTTGTGGAAAAAATCGTGATTTAATGAACAATACCAACTGGAGTCGACACAAGGAATCTTGTAAAAAAAAAAAGTCTGTTAAAAGAAGTGCTTCAAGTTCCATTTCAAACTTTTTTAAACCTACAGAACGTGATGGAAAATTTCCAAAATTTGAACAATCACGTAAGTAATTTTGTGATGCAAATTACATTTAATCTATTAAAAATATTTTCATTTATAAAATGTACCTAAATACCTAATTATTGTTGGTACTTGGTTATTTAAATGAATTATTTATAAAAATCCTGTACAAAATTAATTCATTGCGATTTGCTAATATTTAGTCATATCTAGTACATCATGATCGATGATCATAATATGAATAGTTGCATTTCGTTACACTAATGACAATACCACGTATCTGACATTTTACACAAAATGAGTTTTTGGTATCAAAATATTTGTAATCTCCTTGCGCACAAAATTATTTTCTGATACAATAACCTAAAAAAAAATTATTTTCCCTCCAAATTGGATTTAATTGATAACACGTATCCAAATTGTATCTGTATCTGTGTATTTATTCAGTTTTTTCACTCTCCTGAACAATTGGTAAAATGTAGATACGTGGTATTGTCATTAGTGTAACGATTTGTTATTAACATTCTTTTTTTTTAACTAGTTACGTTAAAAGTTATCAAAAAAATTAACTTTTAACTTTTTAACTAGTTACTGCCCATCTTTGGTCAAACGCAATGTTTGATAGAAACTTCAATTAAAAATAAATAAATTATAAATAGCCAACTAAATTTAGTAGTCCATTTGAAATTGGAAACATGTAATTTATTCAATTTACAAATTTTGGCTACTTTATACTTATACAAACTTAGTTTACTCAGCTGAAAATACACACATTTCTCCACTAACAGCCAACAGGTATTTATCTATTAATAAATTAGTTTTATTATTTTGGATTATGGTATTTGAGTTGTTTTATTGGTGGTTGAATAAATATATTTTGCTTTATTTATTAAAATTGTTTATTACGCCACTGAGTTGTAATGCATGTATACATTTGAATTAATAATTATTAAAAAAAGTGATACTAAAAAATATCATATCTATTTATTATATATTTATTTGTTCAAGCACCTCAAGCTGATATTGAAAAAAATGGTAAATCATAAATATTCATTGTTTTTCCTCAAAATAATAATTATTTCTTATATTTTAGTTTTTAATAATCCATCAACATCAATAATTGAGAACACTGATAATGTTCAAGAGCATCAGGTGAACATTGAAGAAAATGGTATATGATAAATTTAATATTTATGATTTTTTTTTTTGTCTAAATAATTATTACTTCTTATTTTTTAGTTTCTAATAAACCATCAACATCAATAATTGAAAACTCTGATAGTGTTCAAGCACTTCAAGAAAACTTTGAAGAAAATGGTAAATGATAGATATTCATGTTTTCTTTTTGTCAAAATAATAATTATTTCTTATTTTTAAGTTTCTAATAATCCATCAATATCAACAATTGAAAACACTGATACTGTTCAAGAACTTCAGTTGAACATTGAAGAAAATGGTAAATGATAAATTTAATATTTATGATTTTTTTTTTTGTCTAAATAATTATTACTTCTTATTTTTTAGTTTCTAATAAACCATCAACATCAATAATTGAAAACTCTGATAGTGTTCAAGCACTTCAAGAAAACTTTGAAGAAAATGGTAAATGATAGATATTCATGTTTTCTTTTTGTCAAAATAATAATTATTTCTTATTTTTAAGTTTCTAATAATCCATCAATATCAACAATTGAAAACACTGATACTGTTCAAGAACTTCAGTTGAACATTGAAGAAAATGGTAAATGATAAATTTAATATTTATGATTTTTTTTTTTGTCTAAATAATTATTACTTCTTATTTTTTAGTTTCTAATAAATCACCAACATCAATAATTGAAAACTCTGATAGTGTTCAAGCACTTCAAGAAAACTTTGAAGAGAATGGTAAATCATAAATATTCATGTTTCTATTTTTTTTTGTCAAAATACTAATAATTATTATTTTTTAGTTTTTGATAATCCATCAACATCAAATGATACCCGCTCGGTTGATATCTTAATTGGAATGCATGGTGAATATTCTTAATATTTTGTTATTTTGTATGGCAGTACTTTTAATAATTAATTTTTATTGTAATACTAACTAAAAATTTAAATTATAATATAATTTTAAAATTTAATCACATTTTAGATTTTAAATTATATCCAAACGATCCTGGAAATTTTCCTGAAGAAATGTCAAGTGAACTGTTGACATATTTCATACAATATGGACCATGTCAGCCTTCTCCATTAGAACTACCATCAAGTATTTTTCCAAAAAGCAAGGATCCAAATGGTGTATCAAGAAGTTTTCACGAATCTTATTATCACAAAACTATACAAAATGTTCAAGTGCGTCGAAATTGGTTATCATATTCACCTTCCCAAAATAAGGTATATTGTGTATCTTGTAAATTATTTGGATTACCTAAAGCAAAAAAGGCTGTTTTGGCACAAAAAGGAACAAATAGCTGGCAAAATTTAAAACGTAATTTAGAGACTCATGAACAAACTATTGAACACTTACAGTCTGAAATAAGCCGTGGACTTTTCTCAAAAAATGATAGAGTAGACTTGAACCTGCGTCTTTCTAAGAATCGACATATCGCGGAAAATAGAGAAGTGTTGAGAGTTATCATTGAAGTAATTATTTTCGCTGCTAGGCAAAACATTGCATTACGAGGCCACAGTGAAAATGTTTTAAGTGATAATCGTGGTAATTTCTTGGAATTAATTAAGCTGATGAGTCATCATAACTCAACACTCCAGTACCATTTAGAAAAAATAAATTCAAGCAACCATAATAGACTTACCTTCATGTCTCATGAAAGTCAAAATAAGTTATTGTTAATTATTGCAGAAATTATTAGATCCGTAATTGTAAAACAACTCAAAGCAGCTGGATTATTCTCTGTTATCATTGACACAACGACTGATGTGGCAAGTCTGGAACAATTTTCTTTTGTTGTTCGATATGTTCATGAAGGAAGCATCGAAGAACGTTTATTAAGTTTGGTTACAGCGTCAGATGCTACAGGAAAAGGGCTGTATAATACTTTTTGTACTATAACAGAAATGTATCAGATTGATTGGAAAACCAAATTATGCGCTCAATCGTACGATGGTGCTGCAGCTATGCAAGGAGAATACTCAGGACTACGCACATATATTCAGAATGAAAACCCCAAAGCAATTTATGTGTGGTGTTTCGCACACTTGCTTAACCTAGTTATTGTCGATACATTGGATTCTACAACTGATACCAAAATATTTTTTGGGGACTTGCATGGAATTGTAACATTTATGAGAGCAAGGAAAAGAACTGCTACATTTTATGAATGCCAAAAAAAATTAAACATTGAATCTAAAGCTAATGATAGAATTCGAAAAATCAAAAATTTTTCAGATACACGGTGGACGTCCCATGACCGTGTTATTACAGTAATACATGATAAGTATGAAGCTTTAAAAAATACTTTAGAATTGCTATCAGAATCCACAGACAGAGTAACTGCTTCAAATGCAAAATCGTTTCTACAAATAATTTCTTCGTTTCATTTTGTATTGGTTCTTAAGCTAATGAAAAGTATATTCACAATAACTACACCAACTTCATGTTATCTGCAATCAAAAAGCATTGATTTTATTCAAGCAATTAAATTGGTAGATGAAACTAAAAAAAGATTATTAGAATTGCGTTCTGACAAATATTTCCAAGAACTTGTACAAAATACCAAACAATTTACTAATGAACAGAATCTCTGTGAAAATGATTTTAAAAAAGTCCGAACGAGGAAAACTAAAAAAATGCCTGGAGAAAATGTACAAGATGAAATTAGTTCCTCAGCATCAGACAGGTTGGTAAATTATTTATCATTAAAATAATTCTATCATTAAATTCTTGAATATGTAACTTTTAATTTTTATTATAGGTTTAGAGTGAACACATATTATAAATGTTTGGACCAAATAACTTCATCTATAGACAATAGATTTAGTAATGCTAGAGACATACTGAAAGATCTTGCGTTACTATCCCCAGAGCGGTTAATGGAAGCTAAATATAAATCGGAAATGGATCTTCCAGATAAATGTTTTTTAGATTTGGCTACATGGATAACTGATATTAATCCATACCAACTTAAAACTGAATATTTATTATTCAGCAAAAGCTTAAAAGAATTGATTATTGGAATGAAATTCCCAGATAATCAATCTAATGAATCACTTGATATTAACACTGAAGAGGATTCATCGGAAGATGAACATCAAAATATTACGAGCAAACCAAAACAGAACATAACACTAGGAACTATATTAAATGTTCTCTCAAGTTTGGACATTATGAGTGCCTTTCCGAATTTGTATTGTGCTTATAAAGCATTATGTACAATTCCAGCCTCATCAGCCTCAGCAGAAAGAAGCTTTTCAAAGGTATAATAATTGTATTACAATTTTTTCTGTAAACTGATTATGTTTAAATTCTAACTTTGTTCCATTTAGGTTAAATTGATCAAAACTAGACTTAGGTCGACAATGTCACAACAAAGGTTGGAGAGTTTAATGTTGATCTCGTGTGAAAGAGACATACCCATTGATATCAATGAAGTTATAAACAAATTTGGACTGTCATCAAGTGTATTGAGAAAAGAATTAATGTTTGGATAATTGTTTTAATTGAAAGTACTATAATAAGATTTATAATAAAGCAGTATTTATATAATTTATAAAAGTTATTTTTATTGTAGTACCCGCAACATGAATTTTTAGAAAGGCTAATTTGATATAGAATTATAATAGGGGGTGTGGGGGGCGTAGCCCCCCACGGCTCTGTGCAAAATAAAAAGGTGGGTCGTGTGTGCTGCAACTAACATTTTCTTGCCTCACTGTCGAAAAAGTTCGCGCCGCCACTGCCCTCATCCGACTAGACGGTCGGATTTCGACGGTTTTTCCGACTTTTTCCAACAGAATCGCGTTTCGCTTCGTTTGTAGACTTTTCACCTCCCCGCCGAAGACGTATTCGAGTTCCCCGCTAAATTTAAAGCCGGCCCGCAGTCCTACTTTTTCAAAAACGAGTCCCGGGGATGAGCGGCGACGCGCAAACGAGAGTAGGTACCGAGTGGGTACGTCGTGTGTGTGCTATATACAGGCATAAATACATGCGTCTCGACGTCCGATTTTTTTCGCGAATCCCACCGAATCTCGAATTTTACCCCCCTCGGGGGCCTCGGGTCTCCCCGTTTGCGTCTTATTCGCGTTCCTCGCTAAATTTGTAGTCGGCGAGCTGTCCTACTTTTTCAAAAACGAGTCCCGGGGAGGAGCGGCGTCGCGGAAACGAGAGTAGGTACCGAGTAGGTACATTTTGGGTATCGCTATATACAGGCATAAATACATGCGTCCCGACGATCGATTTTTTTCGCGAATCTCACCGAATCGAACTTCCGAAGCCGGTCGAGACGGTCGTCCCCTTACCGACGCGTTCGACCCCCCCGCTCGGACGCCATTTGACGGACGTGGACGCCGCTTTCCAGTTTCGGGTGCACGGCGACGCGGCTTAATAGTCATAGATTTGACACGATATTTCATCTGAGTAGGTAGTCGATAGGTTAGGGCGCTAGGACATGTAACTAGGAGTCGTGGGTTCGATACCGTCCTCCGGCGATATCGAAGACTTGCGGCGGCCGTGATAATCTTGAGTTTTTTTTTCGCGTTTTTTTTTTCGTCTTTTCTCCATCAGTTCCGTATTATCATACTTAAATAGTTCCCCCTCATAGTCGGGGTACTTTTGACCCCCCCCCAATCAAATTTTTTTTGGCCGAGCATAACTTAGCCGGGGATCGTCGTAGCCGTATTTTGTAAACGGCTATGGGTTGTGGGTGACCACGTGCATACCATATCAAAAATTACCCCCCCCCCCCTTTTTTTGATTTAAGTATATCTCTGTCACGTTTCGACTTGGGTCCCCCGTTTTACCACCAAAATTTACGTTTCAAGACCCTCTAAATAGTCCCCCCATTGTCGGGGTACTTTTGACCCCCTCTCAAATTTTTCGGTGACAGTTATGAACGCCGTCAGCGATTCGACGCGATAATAATAACTGACTTACATGTATGCTTTGTCGTAGGTACCTATTAAATATATCACAGTTTGGTTGAGGTTGAGTTGTTGGTAATATTATGAATAACATATTGCTATTTATTATATACATGTATCTTTATACCTATTGATATATTTATATAATAACATTTTATAAAAATATATATATATTATACTATGTAGTAGGTACTTAATGTATTACAGTTTTTAGGTGAGTCAAATTATGTATATTAAAAATATAATCTAATGTGTTTAATTAAATTATATGACTATGCTATAACTATTTAATAAATAATAATAATAATAAATATTTAGTTAACACTGCTACAGATTATAAATACTATTTGATATAATAATATTTATAAACTAATAGATCTAATTGAAATGATTAAATTCTGGTAGTTAAATTGTACAATTATTATAATATACCTAACTACTCTCTTTGATATTATTTATATGGATAGGTTTGATCGTTTGATGTAGTAGATATTTAATATATAACTTAACGTATTTAAATATTACTATACTTATTAAACTATTTAATAAATAATAATAATAAATATTTAATTTACACTTGATTTTATCCAACGCACATATATGTTTCCTTTATACTTCAATAAACAATAGTGCAAGTACAATTTAACTACTAACCTAGGTACATGTATACTTTGTAGTAGGTACCTACTTATCATTGGTATTGGTTGGTATATAAAATATGTCTTTTTCTAATAGTTTGCATTGTGTGTTAAACGGTATAGTGTTATAATATATGAACTGGGCATATTGTAATATGTAAAAATTTAATTAGAAGAAGTAATAGTGAAATTGGTAAATAAGGTAGTTGGTCATAGGTTAGTACTCCATGAGTAGGTACATAACATTGATGGACTAATAGAGAGTAACTAAGTATTGGAAACAGAGGATTTCACTTCTAAGTATATAATAACAAATTATAAATATATATATATATATATATAATATACTATGTAGTAGGTACTAAATTTTTAGGTGATATTAAAAATATGAATTATATGAATTTAGTCATATACTCATATCATATGACTATACTATAAGTATTTAATAAATATTTATTTATAATAAGTATTTAGTTAATACTTGACACATTTACCATGAACAACGCACCTATATTTTTCAAATAGTATATAATACTCTGATGGTTCAATTGTATAATGATATGACATAATTTGATATTACTCAATATAATATAGGTCTATGGTCTATCACGTATATTTATTTATTTATTTAATATCAAATGTAATAATTTATGAATAATAAATTGATATATATATTATGTACCTACATAATATGACTAATGTATTTTATAGATGTACCTATGTATATACATAATAGTATAGTTATATAATTTAAGCATATTATATGTATGTACATGAATTAATAGTGATATTAGTATACATTTTCGTTCATTGGGCCAAAAATATAAATAAAGTACCTACACATAATATTATAAAAATTATTTCAGTTAACATATTATTGGTATATAGTAAGTAGATGAATTGATAGTGAAATAAAATTAGTAAATAAAGTAGTTGGGCACAGGTACTCCAATGGTATATAATATACTATGTAGTAGGTACTTAATGTATTACAGTTTTTAGGTGAGTCAAATTATGTAGGTATATCAATAAACAAAATATAACTTAATGTATTTAATTAAATTCTGGCAGGTAAATTGTATAATGATATGACTAAACTATACGATACTGTCTACATAATATGCCCGTTAATATACGCGACATTATGCGAGTGGGCCGCGGAGTGGGATGGAGTGAGTGCGGGGGGGGGGAAAGTTTGTCGACGCGAAGCGCGCCCGTTTCGACCTGCCTCTTGTGATCGGCGCTCGTACAACGCACATCGACTCTCACGGAAAAGCCAAATACGTTTCGTGTTATTTAACATTCAGTGTTTTTCTTTGAGTTTTGTTGTCTTTTGGGCGCTTTTCACATACCCGGTGAGTACAACTTCTATAATAATATCTACTACCATATAATATTCAGATAAACTACTGATTCTATATGTTTGCACCAGCTACAGACATCATGGAGCGTTTCGTGTTTTTTTCGTACACCGCAAATGTACTTTGAATACCTATAACTTTTTTATATCCGCATTCGTATTAGTTGTGTATTATCCAGTCGCTGTAGTCGATGTTTAAGTCCGTTGGCTGTTTCTTCGCGTTACCATTGCGGTACCTACGTGTTTTATCGCTTTACATTTTGCGTTAACACTTAACAGTTAATTGTGCAATTACGAGCTGGGTATGTCATTTTTCGTATTTTTCTATTTTTTATGTACATCACGTAAGCCGGTGTTTACCTATTAATTCTAAAAATAACACGCAAGTCTCATACCTCACCGCTGATAACAATAACTGATACCTACAACAGACAACAGTCGTTGTATTCGATTGCAACGTTTTTTTTTATGACGAGTTTTTCATATTTAGTATTCACTTTTTACTTATTATTACTATAACCTGTTCGTGATGCTTTTAGGCTATTCAAAATGGTCAAACGATGTGTGCTATGCGGAATTGTGGAGAAAACATTATCGATGTTTCCGTACACAAGTAATTCACCCAACACGTACCAATACCTACTTATCAATATATTATAATAAATTATGTGTCGCCTTAGATTTCCAACTGCCGTATACCGTATACAGTTACTGTTGGCGCGACTTTTAACAAACGTTTACATAATACGGGAGACATTGGTTCTAACACCATGTTGGTGCGTGGAAACAAAACCACAACCAGCTGACCGAGTTCCGTTTCCATATCGTTGCGCCTTCGGCAATGCAACGCTGAAATTCTTGATGGAAATACAGTATGCTATTATTTCAGGACACCTTCATTTATTCGTAAGTGATTACGGGCCTTATCAGTAATTTTTGGGCACGGTAAATATACTATTTTCATTTTCGACCCGGCTTCGGAGTGGTGGATCTTTTATCTGACGTTTAGTCGGATTGCTTACGCATTTAACGATGTTATCATCAATCAAGGTGGTGACTGACTTGCTAGACACTCAACAGATCACGGCGGCACGATTCCCTCGAACCGGCCGTCACACATCGTCAAGTTGTCTAAACGGGTGACTACGACCAACATCAAGTCGATCGACACCGCGGAGAACGCCGCCGTCGTGCGTCGTGTCGCTTTTACTATAACATACAGGCTTCAATACAGCCCCCCCAAATGATTTTATTTTATTATTTTATTTATTATTATTATTATTTTATTTTTTATTTTATTTTATTATTTTATTATTTTATTATTTTATTTTTTTTTTTTCTTCTTTATTTTTGCGTTTTCGGTAACAGTAATGAACGTGCCCCCGCCTTCGCACATTGTCCGCTATCCGACGGGGTCGGATTGACTACCGGATAACGTAGATGACTGACCTGCTAGACACCCAAAAAAAGGCGGTGGCTATATGATATGCATGGACGCCCGAAATATTTCTTCTTTATTTTTGCGTTTTCGGTAACAGTAATGAACGTGATGACGTTCATCAGCCGTCGCACATTAT